TTAAGGAAAAACAAAAGGCGGAAACTATGAACACTCAAGCCCAAGGAGATCCTAACATTACTTCTGAAGAGAGGGAAAAGGTTCGTCTGACGTAATTAGGAGCCGATATTTTCATAGTAATTGGTTTTGCTACCTTAATCTCTTCCTTCTTGTATTCCATAACTGTGTGTAAACTTTAATGTTTGTATGGCGCTGCTGTAACTAATATTTGTTACTAGATGCGTGCACTCACCGCCTTTTGTTTATTTTCGTTCATTGGTATCGAGCGTATATACTTCAAAATCACATATTCTACTTTGAATTCAATAATTCAGTTCGGTCAAATTACATCATATCGTTCTATTATAATCTGTGAATTATTTCCATCGTTTTGTTTTCAATTTTATTCCTTGCGTCGTATTATTTTTCTGGTTATCTAAGTAAAATTGATGAGTTGTGACATAGAGGATATCGTTTTGCCTAATGCACGAGATTCAACTCCAGCTACCCAATATTCTTGGTTTTTCATTAGCTTTCTTGAATTCTGGTGCTTAAACACTGGGATGTTCGTTCTATGCGTCTTCGCAAACGTTGGCAGTGCTTGATACTAGATTTTTTTATAATTTTGGCCACATTGATGGATTTTATTCTACTCGTATATACTAGTCCACAAAATTTCCTTATTTTTTGTGAGCTATATGAAGTTTGATGTATTTTCTGGGTCCAACTCAGACTCATCTACTATATGATGTATGAATGTGTCTTAGTAGACCTTCAGTGTTGGCCAAAAGAGGTTTGCAATGCTGTAAATAGTTGTGACCGCTGTTTGTGTTGGCTTCCGACGCATATAGGCTCAGAAAGCATTAGCGGCGAAGAAGGACGCCTTCATACAGACTCAGCACACATATGCTTCGGAGATGGCCAAGTTTAACGACAAGCAACGCCACCACTTCACACACAACATGTATGTATTAATTGCCGATTTGGAGATGATCGACCGCCAGCGGGCACGAGTCACGAAGGACCTACTCACAAAATGTTCCGAGATTGGGGAGGTTCTCGCCAAGCAACTTAGTGACTCGTCCGTCGCTTTGCGTAAAACTGTCCTGCGCATGGATCCTGAAGAGGTGAGTCCGAACTCCGTGATTCTTACCGTCAAGGTTTCGATTTGTTTAAGGGTTAGTAAAGTTCGCTAAATCAGTGGGGAAGAATGGCTTATTTCCCTAATTCCTCCTCTTTTGTGTCATTTTTGGTATTCCGATTGAAATGAATCCCGTTAAAATCCCCCTCGGTGTTTCCTACTTTGCGGTTTTCAACCTGGCTCGAGTTGTACGTTTCTTTAAGCAAGAGTTCCTTCCATTTCCTACGATAATCTCTGAGACCTTGTATAGCTACTTGTCATCACCCTACATGACCAGATTTATAACCTGCATTTTGTACTGCGGAAGCAGGTTCAAAGAGAAGCATAATAGTTTCGCTGATGCTGTCAATTTATGTGAATTACAAACTGTGTTCTTACCACCTTGTTGATCGGTTTTTCGCATAGGAATAATCGGTGGTGAACATTGGTACGATTTCACTCCCCGGCTTCGATAGACAAACTTTTGTGTCAGTACTGTGCTTTACAGCCTTTTTTGTTGTCGTGGTTCTGATATCCTCGTAGCCTTGATCATCCAGTAGCTGGCCCTTTCCAAGCCGATTCTTATTGGCGTATATCCTCAAAAAGGATTTATCTATGTTTCACACAAATCGTGTTAATGTAACAGTAAAGTCTAAGTAAAATAGAATACCCGTCACCTTGACCAAGGTTGGTGCACTTGTCTGGTCTCAAAAACTACGCCTTAGTTTCTCCAAGCTAAATATTTTCCGCTGAGATGACCAAATTTACTAATTTTTTGCCCTTTTTTCATCCAACGTGGATTCTTTCTTTTTGCAATTTTTTTCATATTTCTACCTCGGATTTCTTCGGGCAACTGTGACCTACTTGACAGTTTGTATTGCAGTCACCATTACTAGGGAGTGAGCCAGGGTTTCGCCTGTTTTCGCCTTTCTCAAATAAGTGACCTATTTTTGCTTCATTAAAACGTTGAGCTGATTTCTTTGGC